TGTGTAATGCAGTTAATGCTTGTGGATCATCAATACCTCCTTTCTATATTTTTCCACGTGTCCATTTTAAAGAAGCATTTTTAAGAAATGGGTTTCCAGGATCTTCCGGAGATGCTCATCAATCAGGATGGATGGTAGAATCAACTTTTAAGAAATGGTTTGAGCATTTTTGTACTTATGCAAAACCTTCAAAGGCAGCACCAGCACTATTGATCATGGACAATCATGAATCTCATTTGAGCATTGATTTCATTGATATGGCCTCAAAAAATGGAGTAATCCTTTTAACCATTCCCCCACACACATCTCATAAATTACAACCACTGGATGTCAGTGTTTACGGGCCATTCAAACGCCACTTTAACAGAGAAATTGATTCGTGGCTTGTTTCTCATCCTGGAAAGACAGTTTCGATATATGATCTAGCAGAAATTTCTGGACAGGCTTGGTCTAAGGCATCTACACCTGCAAACATTTTAAGTGGTTTTTCCAGTTCTGGTATTAATCCATTTCGACCCGATAAATGGGGAGATGAAGATTTTAGACTGGCTCAAGTAACTGACAGACCAAATCCACAGATTGTTAATGATCAATCTGAAAAATTGGAAGATGGAGCGCATCCCCAGATTGCTGAACATCATCCGGAGAAGTTACAAGATACAATTTCAGTTGAACCTGGTTTTGCTGCTGATGTTGCCAAGGAGCGCAATTAAAAATTTTTCGGGCGCGTTGGCAACTTTTTTCTGCTTAAGACAAACAGAAAACTTCAGCCCGCGGCAACCCCCCTCCTTGTTATCCTTATTCGGATGGCGATAGTGAATGCTTGGTTTTAGACAATAGGTACATTAGTCTTGCTAGGTTTAATTGAAACAGGCGTTCGTTCGTTTCAAAATGAGATTGAGTTTGTGGAATGAAACAAATTTTATTTAATATTTTTATTCTTTTTACAATAAATTTTCAATTTTATTGTCCAATTTTAATTTACAATAAATTTACAATAAATTTTCAATTTTACTTTCAGTCAAAAATTCAACACGGTGCAAGAATAAGTAAACTGTTACCGTACATAAATGCAAATGAAGTTTTTAAGGTGATTTAAAAGAAATTCATTTTTCAATCAATAATTTGAAATTTATCTCGTAAAAATAAAACTAATTGAAGTAACATTGAAATAAACAACACTTTATTAAATTACAGAATAATTCAGCGAAGCCAAACATTTTGGAGTGTGGTCTGAAGGGCTGGGCTGAGTATTTAAATGAATATACAAAAGAAATGAAATTTGATTTCATGGCTTGCTGCTCTTTTGATCCGAAGGACAAGTCATTCGCAAAATCTAACAACACTTACGCCATTAGAAATGACCAGCGAAGAGAGTTAATTGCTTTATTCAATTCAAGCAATGTCGAAACAGAAAACAGCGCTAACAATGATTCTGGTATGAAATGGAAAAAAAAGAAACAACCCAGGCCACTACCCAGAATTGATTCAACTACTGACCGATCCACAACGGCACGTTCTAAACTTAAATTTAGCGGTATAGAGTTCAACGTGCTCAGTTTAACGAGGCAGTCGTTGGTGGCAAACTCTTTCAAAGAACCAAGCGGCAATCGCGCGAACAGCAAAAAAAATTTGAAAAACAGCCATCGCTACCACCGCAGCCACAAAATTTACGACAACGATGACGATCACGATAATCACGATTACATGGTACAATTGAAATTTCACGCGTTAACAAATTTCGTCTGGATCGTCCTCTGCATATTCGAGGAAGAGGAAGAAAAAGTGGAAAATGTTGAGAGTGTTCTGGCTGACGTTTTAAGTAAATTTGGATAACGAGAGGATTCACTCTTCACCACAATTCCGCCATTTTTTCATTCTCAGTTCCCTTTGTTCATTCTTCAGTTAACTTGAAAATTGTGTGTTAATTTTTTTTTTTCCTGAAGCTTTAAAAAAGTTTATTTCTTTATATATCATTTGCAATAGTTTATAGCAATTTTTATTATTTTAAAAATGTAATTTATATTTTATATTGTATTTTATATTCTTATTAATAATAACAACAACAACAATAACATATTAATATTATTAACAACAACAACACAACAACAACAGCAGCAGCAACAACAACAACAATAGTAACATTTCAAAAAAACGACAGGCTTGCGCTCATTGTTGTGGTTTAATGCAACAAAAGCCTTTTACTTATAAATCATCTTTGTGAATAACTTCTTCTAAATAATAAATTCTACATAACTTCATGTTTCAAAGTTTTAAAAACGTACAGACATGTTGCATGTTATCCCCGTGTGCGTACATGTTATTGTTAAGAGTGCGTGTAATAGATTTCATATATGTATTTTTATATTGTGTTTTTATTAAATTAAATTATTAAATTTTATAAAAAGCTAGAAGAATTTGTTACCAATTTTTTCCAATTTACTTTTCGAAACTTCATCATTGCATCTATTTGATTTTTTAACGAAACTTTTGTAAAGGCAACAAACGAGTATTACAAAATTCTGTTACGAAAAATATTTTACAGTTTGGCAAACGTTCTAGAAATTATCGTCTGAAAACACATGAAGCTTGAAAATATATTTTCAGACAAAAAACTAAAGCAAATTTAAAAAAATATTACAAATAATAAATAGTTTTAACTTAAACCTCTTTTGGTTGATATCATAATCAGACGTCATTGTTGCAACATCGGCCTGAGTTTATTTTAAATTGCTGCGATTGCAAGCATGAATGAATTCAACCGCCAGTTGCATAGCTCTTCCGACACCAGTCACTTTTTCAACGGCTGCCGGACTTTCTGCTTTTGAGGCTAATATAGGCAGGTGAACAAACTTTTCTCGCTGCAGTTTAGACGTGAAGACAATTTGTAAACAAGTCAAAAATTGAGAACCAATAGAGGTATCAAGTTCAGACATTTTCACTCTGAAATCTGGGTGGAAGCATATTCAATGAAATCAACACAAAAAAGGAATAGCGACTTTGATGTCATCTACTTTTTTTGGTATTTTCAAGTCAGACATCCGTTCACTTACGTTATACAGACGACTGAGCTCGGAAAATACAAAATAAAGCTAGAAACTATTAAGGTCGCCCTGCATTTTGGATCATTCTGTTTACAAAATCTTTTAAAGATATCTCAAAAAAGAAGATTCACCTTGCCAGGAACAAACCGCCCTACCACCTACCGTAGGTCTCATCCACGTCGACTTCAGATCTGCGGTGGTCAAGTAACTTTTTAATTTATATCATACTTAACTTTTTGAATTAGTTATAATTAGTTTAGTAATTAACTAATTAATTAGTAGATAATTAAAGAAGAAATTACCAATTAAAAATTCTGTTTCTGTTGTTTCATTTAATGACATTATGCAGAAAATATTTTCTCATTAACACGGAACATTGCCACAAACGAAATAGTTAATAAACTGCATGTAGGTACCTGCTGATGATTTTAAAATATTTCCAGCAAATTGATCTGAAATGAATTTAGGCACTTTCAAAGTTGATGCCAGTTCAAATAGTTCTTCCTTTGTTAAACCTGTGTAGTATAAAGCAATTCGGGCCTGGTAAAAAAAACTGATTTGTTAGCAGATAAAACTGCTGCCTTTATCGTGTGTGTGTGTGTAGTATTCTTTAAAATGCTTTAAATTCTATTTTAAAAGTGTAAAATAAAAAAATTTTTTCCGTTGTAATATTTGAGATGTTATTAGTTGTTTTATTTTATTTTTCTTATGCATTTGTGGAACTCGACGTTATATAGTTAATTTGTTTTTTGTCTAAATTAGGCTACGAATAAAATTCCACTTGTCGAAATCAGGTTTGAAGAAAGTGTTTAGGACTAATTTTTTCTTGTTCACAATTTTTAAAGTTTGAAATTTTATAATAAAAGTTATTTAGTTTAGAAGGTGACGAATGAAAAGTTTCAATTATAAAAAGTAATCAATAAGTCAGAAAGTTCAAAAAAGTGTCTAAAAAGTTTTGAAAAGTGACCAATAAATTTCAAAAAGTGACCAAAAAAATGTTAAAAAGTGATCAACGCTTACCGAGTTTCAAGGAGGACATGATATTGCGATTGTTCTTTTGATTGTTTCTATAACCAAACTGGCCATCATAACCATTGTAATCGTCATAATCATCATAGTCACTAGAATTATCATATTCACCATCGCCTTCGTGGCTAGATTCACTAACGTCATCGTCATCACAATCGTCGTCACCTTCACTAGATTCATCAATATTGTCATCATCATTTATGTTCTCGATGTCATCGCCATCTTCGTCATCATCATCTTCACCATTCTCACTGCAGTTTTTGACATCGTTGAATATTTTCCAAAATTTATTTTGGCGCCCTTTTTCTGTAGTCTGCGTGCGGCAGAAGGGACACGCTGAATGATAATAATGAGTTAGTTTCATTAGCTTGCTTATTAAACATGGACAATTGTTATAAATTAATTTATTTGACTAATTAAGTCTAATTAATTGACTTGAATAACTATGCCGTCGTTTAAGTAATGTTAAGTAACTATTTCTTGGATACCGAAAATTTTTGAATACAATGAAATATTTTTCATTTAAAATGTTCCCACCCCCTCCACAGACCATCCTCTGTATGTCGCTAGCCAGAAATTTGACGTTGTACCTGACATCTGGCGTCAATTTGTATATATATCTTCTCTCATCTAACTCAATCATGTTTACTCTGTTTTCATGGTTGTCGTTGTTGGTTTCGTTATTGTTGTCGTTGAAGCTTGGATTAATTTTTTCGTTGTTTGTGAGGTTGTTGTCCGTGCTGTTGTTGGTTTCCTCATCTGTCAGATCACCTGTTGTTACAGCTTTATTATTAGAGAAAGTTAAAACAAAACAAAATAGATATAGGTACATCTCAACTGTCTATAGAGTAACCAATAAAGGTTAAAGGTGACTCTCTCTCGTTTGCGTTTGCTTCAGGGGTTTCAACGACAAACACACACAGCGTATATGAATACGCGTGAAAACCACATATCCCATCATCACTTAAGAGTTTTTTTAATATTGAAATTTGAAATTTTTAAAAGAAGTCTAGAGAAATGATTAAAAAAACAACAACTGACTCCAAGAGAGGTAGACAACCAGTCCGCTGTTCTCTTCCAAATCGTCGGCAAGTTTCAAAAGGTTGCTCCTCAGCCAACTCAAGCGTTCCTTGTCTACAGCTGATCTGCTTCCAAGCATCACTATTACAGCGACGTCGTTTCCGTTGCAGACGTTGTCTGGTTTGGGAATGTTTTTTGGAGTTGAGTAAAGTCATAAAGTCATCATCGGCGCCATTATCTTCTCTTCATCAGTCTCATCATTATCTATATTATCATTTTCATCATCATTATCGTTATCACCATTATCATCATACTGGTTTTTATAACTCTATGTTTTTGACATGCTCAGGTGATCCTGTCCCAACATACATTCTCAAGGAGTTTCTGGATGTTCTTCTACCCTTCATAACTGTCATGGTCAATGCATCTTT